TAAGGGGATCTTAACCCTTGACCTGGTGTTGTCAGCACCACGCTCTCCCAAGTGAGCCACAAGCCATCAGCCCTTGAACATTCACTTTTATCTTACACCTGATTACAGGAAACTCTTCTCCCACATTTTTCATGCGTCAGCTACCACTTTCCCTGCTTTACATACATTAACTCTTCCAGTCTTCACAACAACCCTCCCTATGTGGTAGGTACTATTAGGACACCCATGTTACAGATGGGAAAATAGAGGCACAGAGAGGTTGAGTAACTTGCCAAGGATCACACAGCCAGTAAGTAGCAGAACTGAGATTCAATCCCAAGCAACAGGGTTCCAGAGTCCTACTCCTTAACTAATACTCTACACTGCCTATACATTTCTGGACTGTTCGAAAAAACATTTTTATTACGTGGATATATTGTGTTTGTAATTTAGAAAAAAGCTAGTAAAGGAAAAAAAGGTGCAAGTTAATGGAAGATATTCACAACAGGGTGTGGTGGAAGTTTCTGAAAAGTTGACTAGCTCCTAACAATTCCTCTTCCTCCCCCCAGCCCTTTATGAACTCCAAGAATTTCTGCCCCCACCTACCCCACCCCGGACACACACGTGAGGAAGGGGTAAGTGGGGCCACGCTCACCCCCCTCCTGCTCCCCAAAGCGAGGACGGTAGCATTGGTCCCTGGTGTGTGTCTGGTTCGGCTCCCAGCCTGCAGTGAGGTGAAAGACTTGGAAACGCAGGATTTTCCAGGCATGGTTGGTAAGTGCCGTGAACCAAACCGGTGGTGCCTGGGGAAGCTGCAAGTGGTCGGTCGGGTCAGGTCGGTTGGGAGAAGCCTGCTGGGGACCGGCTCCCGCAGACGAATCACCCCACCTGCCGGCAGAGTCCTGGATTGCTGCCGTGTCGCTTTCTTGTGGGCCTTTGCTTATTCTTTGCAGAAGGATCCAAGAGAGACCTTTCAGCCCTGGATTTTTTTTTTTTTTTGAAAGATGACTGGTAAGGGGATCTTAACCCTTGACTTGGTGTTGTC